AAGGAGCCACCCCAAAAGGGACCCACCCCAAAAGGGATCCACCCCAAAAATCCCACCCCAAAAGGGATCCACCCCAAAAAGGACCCACCCCAAAAGGGACCCACCCCAAAAGGGATCCGCCCCACAAATCCCACCCCAAAAGGACCCCACCCCAAAAGGGACCCCAAAAGGGACCCACCCAAAAAGGGACCCACCCCAAAAAGGACCCACCCCAAAAAGGACCCACCCCAAAAAGGGACCCACCCCAAAAGGGACCCACCCCAAAAGGGATCCATCCCAAAAATCCCACCCCAAAAGGGACCCACCCCAAAAAGGACCACCCCCAAAAATCCCACCCCAAAAGGGACCAATCCTCGCAAAATTTCCCCCCTAAAAGGCCCTTTCCAAAAAGGACCCACCCCAAAAATCCCACCCCAAAAGGGATCCACCCCAAAAGGGACCCACCCCAAAAATCCCACCCCAAAAGGGACCCACCCCAAAAATCCCACCCCAAAAGGGACCCACCCCAAAAATCCCACCCCAAAAGGGACCCACCCCAAAAGGGACCCACCCCAAAAGGGACCCACCCCAAAAATCCCACCCCAAAAGGGATCCACCCCAAAAATCCCACCCCAAAAGGGATCCACCCCAAAAAGGACCCACCCCAAAAGGGACCCACCCCAAAAATCCCACCCCAAAAGGGATCCATCCCAAAAATCCCACCGCAAAAGGGATCCATCCCAAAAGGGACCCACCCAAAAAGGGATCCACCCCAAAAGGGATCCACCCCAAAAATCCCACCCAAAAGGGACCCACCCCAAAAGGGACCCACCCCAAAAATCCCACCCCAAAAATCCCACCCCAAAAGGGATCCATCCCAAAAATCCCACCCCAAAAAGGACCCACCCCAAAAGGGATCCACCCCAAAAGGGACCCACCCCAAAAGGGACCCACCCCACAAATCCCACCCCAAAAGGGACCCCAAAAGGACCCCAAAAGGCCCCGTTTGGGGTTCCTCACCCGAAGAGCCCGCGCGTGTCGGCCACCACCAGCTTGATGCCGTGGCTGTGGCAGAAATCGCCCACCCAGAGCTGCTCCTCCAGCGGGGAGTTGGTCAGCACCACCACCTGTGGGACAGGGCACCTGGGCACCCACCTGGGCACTCACCTGGGCACCCACCTGGGCACTCACCTGGGCACTCACCTGGGCACCCACCTGGGCACCCACCTGGGCACCCACCTGGGCACTCACCTGGGCACTCACCTGGGCACCCACCTGGGCACTCACCTGGGCACTCACCTGGGCACCCACCTGGGCACTCACCTGGGCACCCACCTGGGCACTCACCTGGGCACTCACCTGGGCACCCACCTGGGCACCCACCTGGGCACCCACCTGGGCACTCACCTGGGCACTCACCTGGGCACCCACCTGGGCACTCACCTGGGACTCACCTGGGCACCCACCTGGGCACTCACCTGGGCACCCACCTGGGCACCCACCTGGGCACTCACCTGAGCACCCACCTGGGCACTCACCTGAGCTAGGGCAGCTCGGCCACCTACCTGGGCCATCGCCCTGGCTCACCTGGGTCACCTACCTGGATTACCTGGGCCATCTAAACCCCTCCCCCCCAGGTGGGCACACCTGTCTGAGGGGGTTACACCTGTCTGAGGGGGTTACACCTGTGCCCAGGTGGGCACACCTGTCTGAAGGGGTTACATCTGTCTGAGGGGGTTACACCTGTCTGAGGGGGTTACACCTGTGCCCAGGCGGGCACACCTGAGGGGGTCACACCTGTCTGAGGGGGTTACACCTGTCTGAGGGGGTTACACCTGTCTGAGGGGGTTACACCTGTGCCCAGGTGGGCACACCTGTCTGAGGGGGTTACACCTGTCTGAGGGGGTTACACCTGTGCCCAGGTGGGCACACCTGTCTGAGGGGGTTACTCCTGTCTGAGGGGGTTACACCTGTGCCCAGGTGGGCACACCTGTCTGAGGGGGTTACACCTGTGCCCAGGTGGGCACACCTGTCTGAAGGGGCATACCTGAGGGTTACAGCAGTCCCCAGGCAGGCACACCTGTCTGAGGGGGTTACACCTGTGCCCAGTGTCTGAGGGGGTTACACCTGTGCCCAGGTGGGCACACCTGTCTGAGGGGGTTACACCTGTGCCCAGGTGGGCACACCTGTCTGAGGGGGTTACACCTGTGCCCAGGTGGGCACACCTGTCTGAGGGGGTTACACCTGTGCCCAGGTGGGCACACCTGTCTGAAGGGGCATACCTGAGGGTTACAGCAGTCCCCAGGTGGGCACACCTGTCTGAGGGGGTTACACCTGTCTGAGGGGGTTACACCTGTCTGAGGGGGTCACACCTGTGCCCAGGTGGGCACACCTGTCTGAGGGGGTTACACCTGTGCCCAAGTTGGCACACCTGTCTGAGTGGGCATACCTGAGGGTTACAGCAGTCCCCAGGTGGGCACACCTGTCTGAGGGGGTTACACCTGTCTGAGGGGGTTACACCTGTGCCCAGGTGGGCACACCTGTCTGAGGGGGTTACACCTGTCTGAGGGGGTCACACCTGTGCCCAGGTGGGCACACCTGTCTGAGGGGGTTACACCTGTCTGAGGGGGTTACACCTGTCTGAGGGGGTTACACCTGTGCCCAGGTGGGCACACCTGTCTGAGGGGGTTACACCTGTGCCCAGGTGGGCACACCTGTCTGAGGGGGTTACACCTGTCTGAGGGGGTTACACCTGTGCCCAGGTGGGCACACCTGTCTGAGGGGGTTACACCTGTGCCCAGGTGGGCACACCTGTCTGAGGGGGTTACACCTGTCTGAGGGGGTTACACCTGTGCCCAGGTGGGCACACCTGTCTGAGGGGGTTACACCTGTGCCCAGTGTCGGAGGGGGTCACACCTGTCTGAGGGGGTCACACCTGTGCCCAGGTGGGCACACCTGTCTGAGGGGGTTACACCTGTCTGAGGGGGTTACACCTGTGCCCAGGTGGGCACACTTATCTGAGTGGGTTACACCTGTGCCCAGGTGGGCACACTTATCTGAGTGGGTTACACCTGTGCCCAGGTGGGCACACCTGTCTGAGGGGGTTACACCTGTCTGAGGGGGTTACACCTGTGCCCAGGTGGGCACACCTGTCTGAGGGGGCATACCTGAGGGTTACAGCAGTCCCCAGGTGGGCACACCTGTCTGAGGGGGTTACACCTGTCTGAGGGGGTTACACCTGTGCCCAGGCGGGCACACCTGAGGGGTCACACCTGTCTGAGGGGGTTACACCTGTCTGAGGGGGTTACACCTGTGCCCAGGTGGGCACACCTGTCTGAGGGGGTTACAGCTGTGCCCAGGTGGGCACACCTGTCTGAAGGGGCATACCTGAGGGTTACAGCAGTCCTCAGGTGGGCACACCTGTCTGAGGGGGTTACACCTGTCTGAGGGGGTTACACCTGTCTGAGGGGGTTACACCTGTGCCCAGGTGGGCACACCTGTCTGAGGGGGTTACACCTGTCTGAGAGGGTTATACCTGTGCCCAGGTGGGCACACCTGTCTGAGGGGGTTACACCTGTCTGAGGGGGTTACACCTGTGCCCAGGTGGGCACACCTGTCTGAGGGGGTCACACCTGTGCCCAGGTGGGCACACCTGTCTGAGGGGGTTACACCTGTCTGAGGGGGTCACACCTGTGCCCAGGTGGGCACACCTGTCTGAGGGGGTTACACCTGTCTGAGGGGGTTACACCTGTGCCCAGGTGGGCACACCTGTGCCAGCTTACCTGGAATGTGCCCAGCAGCTCCTGGGACAGCGGCTCCCGGGTGCTGCTCACGGCCACGTAGGAGTTGAGCTCGGCCAAGCG